CGTTATATTATGGGGGTTATATTGATAGTGGTTCTAATATTAAAAATAAATCAAAATTTTTTGGTTCTTAATCTATTTTTTACAATTATTTTAGTTTTTATAATAATTGAAAAACAAATGTGGGGGGGGGGAAGAAGCTTCAAATAAAAAGGACATCTGTAAAGGCAAAGTTAGTCCAATTTTGTTCCAGTACTTGAAAGTGAGCACATCTATTATATGTGTGTAACTTGGAAAACCTCTACCTGATTTAGATTTGGATTTAGATCTGGACTTCCTAGAACCTTCCTTTTCCGACTCACTTGAACTAGCTCCGCTGAAAATAATCAAAAATTAAGCTTGGAAACAAAATGAATTCTATTCTCAGTGGCAATGAAAAAAAGGAATTATAAGATTACATTTTGTGCTCAATTAACATATTATAAATTTGTTTCTTGATTTGAGACAGAAGGCAGAAAAACAGAAACAGAGGCGCCATGATCTACTGCAAATCGCTAATTTATTTTTGCGTTGGAAAAACAGATTTACAGGAATTTAAGGCCCACCCATTAACCTTTTTTATACAAAAATCATTGTCGAAGCATCAATTACTTTATAAGAGCTATTTGATAAATGCAAATTGCTTGACTATGAAATCCATTGATGTAAAAAAAAAGAAAAAATATGAGAATATCGTTAAAAATGACGATCAACTAGATCGCAGCATATGGTTTATTCTAAAGTCTTCTAAACATAAAGTTATCCTTTATAAAATATTGAAATCTCTATCATTTCCGGGGGTTTCACCAACTTTATAGAGGGGTAGATGACGGGCGGAGGCGGTCGAATTCATTATATATCATCCATACAGGACAGAATACAATTAAACCATACCTGAGGGTTCCGAGTCTGGATTTTTTCTCGACATTTTCAGCTTCTGATCCAGAGGAAGAAGAAGATTGGGATAAAGTTGATTGTTTGCGCTTGGAACTCATCTTCAACTATTCTAGAAATTAACATGAAATATGACGAAATTCACAGTTTTTACTCGATAAAATCATGTAAATTCACTGTTTGGGATCACATAACAGGACAGGGTTTATACCTTCCGATTTAACTAAAATTTTCACAAAATTTTGTTTTTATTGAACCCCTGTCCATGTGGCAAAAGGCCGTGTTTGGTTTAATTTCTCTTTCTGAAAATTGATCAGCTGTTTGGCCGGATGATTGTAAAAGACGACATATATATATTGCAACATCAGGTTTCAAATTCGGAACTCAACTCCGCATAATTATTAGGCCACTTCGTCAGACAAGTATCTAAATCGTAGGATAAACCTACGATTAAAAAATCGTAGGTTTATCCTACGTTTTAGACTTGTTGCACGATTACGGAAGTACTGTTTCATCAGTCATAAATCCACCCTAAATAGAGGCTGGATTATCTATCCTAAATCTACCCTGAAACAGCTGATGCTTTCATTAGTCATCCTTTAAATCCTACGATTATCTACCCTTTTTCATCCAAACTGTTGTTTATGCACATGCGCATTGGTTTCCACAAATTAGTTTGGCAAATCAAAGACGATCTTTGTTAACCTCAAATATTTTTTTGCAAAATTTAAAAAATCATGTTTTTTCCAAAAATCTGCCGAAAAATATTTTTTTAAATTTAAAAATAATATTTTCTAAAAAACACTTTTTAGAAATAAAATATCAATATTTTCGTAAAAATATTTTTTTTTTTTTTTTGAATTTTTTATAATAAAATTTCATTTTTACAAAAAAT